TATACTGAATGTTCAGTTCATCCTGTTTATAGGAATGTCACTGGTTTCAAAAAGAACGTTTTAATAACCAAATTAACGAATATCAATGATAGCAGATACTTATATTGTTTATATTTGATAAAATTATTACTTTAAAAAGTGCTATTTAGAGAATTATTATATCTGTTGTTAAAAATAATGCGCAATATTAAACAGAAAATTCCTTTTTCATTACAAATTCACGAGTATTTCCATTTTTGTCAAATATAATCAAAAAATTCTCCAACATAAGAAAATAAACGCAAAGAGATAAGAAGTAAAAATAAAACCACTGTCATTGGAGCAATATGAGTTAATACTTATACACTCCCTGATTTTTGACTATGCGATCTTAAACCTCAAAATGCTTGAAATTCTAATCATTCAAATATAAGTCCAGTTCGTCGCAAGAAGCAGCTAGTATTATTTACATGAACTCAACTCATGCAGTTTTAATTTGTAGCGTACTATTCACAAATATGGAAAATATTCTAAATGTTTATTATAAATTGACACTTTCATATTAATATTAAACATAATTCAACGCATAGCAAATTTAGTGATTAATTTAACACCAAAACCTACATTAAGATTTCATTTTTAAAGATTTCCATTCAAACATTTTTTTGCATTTTTAAAACTTGTTTACGAATAATTCTCGAGTACAATTCGAACGTAAGAAAGAAAATTTATTTCTGACACATATTTGTTAAGCAAAACAAGAAATTGTTTCAGAAATCGGATACCGATAAACCAAGACAAATTAATTAATTTCATGAGCGACAATTACATGAAAATAAAAAAAAAATCTTGAAATGCTATTTTATCGTTAACCTGATAGCAATCTAACGTTTTTCTTAGATATTAATTGTCTTCGCTAATTAAAAATGTAAGTAATTTTATAATGATTAAAGAATTAATTATTTTTCATGTATTACGAGACATTGAATTCAGATTTTACAAACAATACAAACAGTTTTGTTACAATTTAAAATATGTCCCAAATGCATTACATAAAAGTTTTAAAAAAAGTATAAATTAGTTTTTCCTTAAAATTAATATTGCAAGACCATTTCTAGTGGGTAGTTTCTATCTTATTGAAAACTCAAGTCTAATTTTAGGAATTAAATTATTTCATACAGTACTAAAATTTACTTTTCTATAGTTCATTAATTGTTTGAAGTTCTCTTGTTTTATGCTTTGAATTGACAACTGTAATGCTAGTTATCCATTTTTGAAGTAAACATTATTTTTCTGCTGTGCTGACCGCATATGACTTTCACAGTATTTCGAACATGATTAGTAAGATAGTTTCACTTTGAAAATATATAATACAAACAAGTTTGATTCAAATATTCCCCTGTCTTATAAAATAAAATAAAAACTACACTGCAAATAATTTCGGATCAAATTACGGTATAATGTATTGGCACTTGGAGTGCATCAGACGTAAAATCTGTTTCACCATAAAATCTCTTTTTGCTGACTGTATAATGTTTTGAGTAATATTTATTAATACAAAGTGATTCAGGGATTTTATGGTGATTATTATTGAAAAAAAATATGGTGAGGTAAAAAATACTGATATCCTTATTGCCGGTACTTTTTACAGTAATTTCACAAGGTATTTTAATAGTGTACCCGTTGATGTGAGTTTTATTTGCTCATTTTTTTTTAAAAAACCTATTTACTTTAAATAAAATAACTTATCAAAAAAATAAAGATTTTACAAGTAAGATATATTATTTACTGGTTTTATAATAGTAAAATTTCCACTCTGAAAGGGAAGATCAGAAAGACGAAGGAGATGAAAAGGATCAAAAGTAGAATCACAGAAAGTGCAAGCTTTTGTTACAAAGAATGTTAATTTACTAAATATATGTGACATAATTTACCTGATATATGTGACATTATTTATCATGATATTTGTGACAATATATGTGACATTATTTATCATGAAGTTTCACAAAAATTAATAATAAATTCATTACTTTAAAACTTTCTACATAGAACTATAAAGATGCTAGATAGAGCTACAGAATCGCAAAATAACGATATAAACACTACTAAATAAATATTGAAGTTTTATTATCAGTCAAGAATATTTTTTAGAAAAAATAAACGTAATAAAATACTTCAAACAACTTATTTCTTTCAAAGAATTTTGTATTTCCTATACTGTAATCAAACATTTCTTTTTAACACACGAGGGATGTTTCTTTCAGAAAAGAAACTTAAGTTATATTCGACCATCTGTGCTGTACCAAATATCGTTCTGTGGAATTGCTAAGTTTCCATTTAAATTGAAAACAAGATTTTTCACTTTAAAGCCAATGAGTGTTACTTACGAAACATTGGAGAATCAGACAGGAAAAAAAAAGAAACTGAAATATATCGCTTTAAAATTTCAGCTTCTCCGTCTGTATATATATATGTTAATGTTTTTATATATATATTTCAAAAAACGAAATCCAAAAAAAATGAAGATTTAACACAGCATAAAGGAAAGATTTTATCTCGTCTTCAGCTCATGTGATTATAACAGCAATTTTTTAAATTCCTCGCAGCTTTATACTTTCTTTTTATTTTTTAAACATTATTTAAAAACGTATTTTTACGAATAAATTTTCTTCTTCTCTTTAAAAATATATATTTTTCCTTGTTTTCATAGTAATTTTTATTTATTTTATGGCAATTATGGTATGGTGCGGTAATTTTACCGTAAAATCCATTTTCCCGGGGAATGATGAGGACTAAAAATCCAATACACCGTAAATTTTCAAGTTATAATTATCGCAAAACCATTCTAAATAAATAAATATTACTATAAAAATTACAGTACAATATTTTGCGGTAAAAAAATATATTATGGTAAAAAAGATTTTACGGTAAAATCATCTCATAATAAATATTCGCAGATAATAAAATTATTTATTTTTCTAAAACTCATGAATTGTTTAAGAATTCTTGTTTTAAGCATTGATTCGACTATTGTGATGGTGATTGTCAATTTTAAAATAAGCATTATTAATTTTTTTGAGCTAGATGGCTTCATATTTTTTCGAACAAGATTCGAAAGGTAGTTTCACTATGAAAGTATTTGGCACAAGCAAGTTTGATTTAAATATTCCCCTGTTTTCTGAGTGAAAAAAACAAAACGGAACAAAATTCTGGCTCAAATTGCAGTATAAAGTATATGTGCTTTGGGTGAATCATCCATAAAATATTTTACCGAAATCCATTTTTACCGTAAAATATTATACCGTTAATTTCCAAGTAATATTTATTTATTTAGTGTGAATCAACGATTTTGTGCAAATTTTGTTTGTGAAACTTACGGTGTATCAGATATTTTTTCGTACTATGTATATTACAGTAAACATTACCGACTTCGTAAAGGTACCTGATTACTTTCGGAGACAATTTTTTGAAATTTTTAATTTAGAAATTTTTTAATTCGATTAATGTGTGTATTATACACTAAAACATGATATGATTACAAAAAATATGCAAAAAAAATAATTTTTTTAAAACAAAAAATAGGAAAAAACTGGACAAAAAAGTACAAAAATCGTTCTATTTTAAAAACAACATAACTTTATTAAAAATTATTATTTTTCCATCATTTTTGCTTTAAAATACTCAAATTAACTCAATTAACTTAATAGAATACTCATTAGGCATAATATTAATATTTAAATATTTCACAGCAAATACCGAAACTTTTTCTATAAAAAAGGCCTAAAATTGTAATTAATTATTTTAATTATAGCTGTAAAATATAAAATAATCGTTTAATTGACTAGTCCATTGTCCATTCCTTAGATATGAGCCGCTCAGAAGCCAATGTGGTTAAATCCATTTTTTGATATTTTCTGATTTTTGGAAATTTTGATGAAATAAATAATAATCTTCTTAGTTATTAAAGGATTTACTCGTTGGTTACTTTTTTCTAGGTTAGACAGCAATTTTTTAATAGCTTCTGAATATATTATATAATAATTTCAGAAGCCATTGTGAATAAGTCCACCTTTTATCAATATTTTTTTACATAAACTTTGAAATAAAAATTAAATTATTCTTCTTCTTTCGATATTTGTTGGCAACACTGAAAAACAAGAAATTCATAGTAACCAGGGTTGCCAGACGTAGTATTTTTAATACTACGGTAGTATTTTTTCACCAAAAAATGGTTATTAATGGTAATGGGGTATGGTTATTTTCGTAGTATTTTTTTAAAATGTGGCATTTTTTATTTTTTTAAATTTTTTTTTTCATTTCCTAAAACAAAAGAAAGTGCCACTTTAGTTTTGAAGTAAAAAACAATTTTTGAAATAATCCAATAGTTTAGTTTCTATTAGTCACTGTATCTAGTGATGATTGAGAAAATTCGAAGTTCGTTTATACTAAAAGACATAAATTTCCTATCTTTTTCAACTGCCAAAAGGTATAAGTCCTAAAATTTTTAAGATTCTGTCATTATTTCAATAAATACTTACGTTTTTATTTACACATCTTGTACATATCTTGTTTTTTTGCAGAGTTTACACCTCGAAAAAAGAGTTTATACACTTTTCTAATTAAATTAATAAACCCGGAATTTTAAAAACTAATGTATCAAAAAACATTAATTTTCTTAATTGTTGTGTTTTGGACTTAACCGCATTGGCTTCTGAGCGACTCATATATGTATAAAAAACATTCATGCAAAATTTCCTATTATAGCATAATTTGATATGAAAATTATTAAAGTAATGATATCAATATATATAATATTATAATATAAATTTGCATTTCATTATTATTAAGAATCTCTAAGCTGTATTTCTTTCTTCTATTTCTTATTGAAACTTTCGGCATTTATTAAGTTTTTTCTTCATTACAAAGTGAAGAAGCCAATAGCAGCACTCTCTTCATGAATGATAGCTTTCATCATCTGCCTCTCGATTCTTTACTTTTCTCTTCCTCACCATCCCATAGAAAACTTTTTACGGAACATTTTGCCTCAAAAGTTACCAGGAAAGTAGTGACTGACGTGTGTTAATAATCACCTAGGAGGCAGCGTCGACAGTCCTTTGCCGCTAGGGGCGTAGCCATGGTGACTGCCTATATTGATGCAGAGTAGGATGAAACGAAGGATGAAGTGAGAGAAAGATGGAGCGAAGTTGCGACTCGCGTGGTGTGTTCTCTGCTTTATCCTCTTAGAACAGTACAAACCTCAGCGACTAATACAAGTGCAGTTCGAAACGCTCGTCGAATGCACATGGAAGAATACTTCGGCCATGCTGCACAAGGATAGAAATGATATAGTAATTTCGCGCTTCGTTGCTTACTGTTTGCCTGTTTTGTTGAAGTTTGTTGGGGAAGAGTTAAGTCAGTTGCAATTCTTTCGCACTTAAGTACGTGAAACCACGTGTTTTGCAATTTGAGTTTTTGTTGCTTTTAAGATATTGTGTAGGAAATGAAACATGAGTTTTAAAATGTTGTAGTTTGAAGAAATAATAACAAGTATTTGCTGTTGAAGAAATTAATTATTTATTGTTAAACTGCTGTGAAAAATCAAAAAAAAAATATATCAAAAGACTTCTGTGCCAAAATTTTAAATCAAAATTTGAGAAACATTATATTTTGTTAAATATCTGTGTTCAATAATTACTATCAGTGAGTGAAATTGTTATAAATTATAACTATTGGATATTGAAAGATTTTATATATTAAATTTATCAACGTTAAAAAGCTTGCAAAATCATTTTTCACTAAGAAAATAACACATTGGTCACAGGAATATATCAAGAATGGAATAAAATTGTTTCCAAGAACTACCGAAAACCAGAACATATCTCTTAATTTTCTAATAATGACTATTAAAAGATTACCGAATTTGTGGATGTTTGCACTCTATGCAGTAGCAACAGGTAAGTTTTTTTTAAATTTTATGTTTCATGCAAAAGAGTTTTCATAAAACATAATTGAAAACAAAATTTTAGTCACATTAACTCCCAGGCAGAAATCTATAAATAAAAAAAAGCTTTAATATGGTTTAAGACATAGTATTTACTCTTATTTCATTTGCATTTCAAACATCTTTGAAAATTTATTATCAGCCATGCTTATGACGTATACTTTTGCCGCACTATATAATCTAAACACAAGTATATTTTTGCCATCTAGCATCTTCTGCGAATATATTTCTTTAGTACATGTTATGCACAACATTTTACTTTTCACTAAATGCATAACATAATATTTAAACATCTTGAAAATATTTGTTACTGTTACACTTACAATGTGATGTATCGTTTAAGTCATTTACTAGTTACAAGAAAAGCTGGCTGACTCCCCATTCTTTTTTTCGCAATTTCGTGAAACACTCACATTTTTGATGCACTTAATGCTTGCACTTAAAATTTGTATTAGTATTGCAGTTAATGAATACTAATCATCATTGTACTTCAATCATCCTTTCTAAAAATTTTTTTAACTTTTCACATGACAATGCTTGATTTGAGAACGGTTATTAATATAATGCATAGTACGGTGAATGGTCACTCTCAAAAAAGTGCTTTTTTCTTATTACTTAATATTTTCGATTGCTTAAGCAAGAATAAAGGTCAATTTGACTGATAACGCATCAAAAAAAATTACAAAGGTGCAACAAGCTGAATGATCAATGGTCTTATTTTTCGTGAATGCAAAAAATATCTTTTAAAACACTAACAAAACTGTTTGCAATATCCGCTTAGCCAAAATATAAATAGCAAAATATTTTATTTCATTTTATATTATAACCGTCGTTGAACAACCGACCCATTCTTGGGTTTACGACTACTAATTTTCGACTCCGTAGTCTCGTAATTTTGAACCAATCCAGCAGACAAGGAAACTCCTGGAGCCCCAGAGGTATGCTTTTTTATGCTGACATGGAGAACTTTGAGACTCGTTAGATTTTACGCTCATCAGTCACCATTTACTACACGGGGAGTCTTCGGTCGGCGAGGATTGAACTCACGACCTCCTGGACATGAGCCCAGTGCCCTACCAACCATGCTATACCGGCCTTACTGTAAAATATTCCTGATTATTACAGTTCTTTGATTATTCTCTGATCATCCCTGATTATTACTGTATAATGCCACCCGGAATGCAGCACTAGTAAAATCTTTTTTTGTGTGTGTGCAAAGTTTCATACCTCAATTTTCACCTGTATATTTAAAGTAATTCAGTGGCTTCATAGTAAATATTCTTATTAAAGCTGTCCCGCAGTGGACTGATCGTTAAGACACGGTTCTCAGCAGATCACCGAAGTCAAACATCACTGGCTACGGTCAGTGTGTGGGTGGGTGACGACTTGGATCAGTCTGCGTAGGGACCGAGGGTGTGCGGTATTGGTCCTCGTTAAACTGTGCTACCGTAAAGTGCTCGACTTCGCGCGCAGGTCGTCGGGCTACCGAAGTGGGGGTGCCATCCCCTCCGCAGAGGATCAAAATTGTGATGGCATGTCTTCGGATCATCCTCCGGGATGTTTCCCAGACCGTCGGCAATAGCCCATTGTGCAGCTCTAGTGTGACGTAAATTAACAACAACAACAATCTTATTAAAGTTATAGTATATTGGAATTTTTGTTCTGTGAAATTTCTTGGTCAAAAGTTCTAGTACCATGAATGTGGTTATTTCATACCATTACTTGATTAGGAATTTTTACACTATATCTCCAGAATTGTCCAGAATTATAAGCTCGAATATTTAATTTGTTTACTTTTAATTAGTTTAGATACATTTTCTTTTTAACTCAATCAATGTTTTAAAATTAACTTATGTAGGTTTATGTATTTTTATTTCCTAACTTTTATTAAAGTAAACTATTTCGCACTCCTCGTTCTCTTTTTTCCTGTTTTAATTAAAATAAAGTATAGAATTTTCGTTGTTGATACACCTCTCACTTTTTTTTTATAATATGAGATAATTAAATTTGAATCTCCCCGAATTTAAATGATATTTTGGGTTCAGTAAACTTGTAAGCTGGTACTTTATTTCTTTTAAAAACAAAATCTGGTCTCTTTCTACTTCTTTAATCCTTTTGAGCGTTATTCCTTACTTTTTTTCCTAAATTTAAGCTAGTGGATTTCCTTTATCAAAATGTCGGTTTTCATCATGTCATTTAATAGAGAAAATGTGTGCAGCAGGTCAATTTTGGCACAGAGTTTCTCAAGGGTTCAATACTGAATGACAAATATAGGATAAACGGACAATACACATTATGCAGAATTATATGCAATTGTAACATTTTGTCTAATTTTAACTAAATTACAGAGATTGCATTTAAAATGTAAAAGATCATTAACCGTTATTAATATGACAATTTTTATAAATGTGCTCCACGAAACTATAGAAAACATATTTTATAAATATATATATATATATATATATATATAAAATGTAAAATGANATATATATATGTATTATTTCTAATGGTCGGGCAAAAATAAAAATAAATGAACAGGGACAGAAGTAAAGATGACACTACAATAAATTGACCGAAGTCATTGCCTCATAAGTTCTCTGGCCTTCTAATAAAGCGCAGTCTTGGAAACGCCCCTAAGGACTGCACAGTGGTGGAGATGGTGTCTATCCATAGAGATATTAGAGTCACAGAGGGGGCAGTAAGGGCTTGAGAAGATCCGAATACGGGGAACATGTTGTTGTTGTTGTTGTTACTTTACGTCGCACTAGAGCTGCAANAGGGACAGAAGTAAAGATGTCACTACAATAAATTGACCGAAGTCATTGCCTCATAAGTTCTCTGGCCTTCTAATAAAGCCCAGTCTTGGAGTCGCCCCTAAGGACTGCACAATGGTGGAGATGGTGTCTATCCATAGGGATATTAGAGTCCCAGAGGGGGCAGTAAGGGCTTGAGAAGATCCGAATACGGGGAAGGTGATCTGCAAGGCAATCATATCCAGTTAGTAGACGGAATTGGGCCACAGTGTGCCGACGAGGACTGCCAGGAACCCTCAAAAGATCTTCAACTTTGCAGCGCTTAGATTTTACTCTGTCATTTATTTGTTCACTGAATTGCCCTTTTAAAGTTTGCTATAAGTAAGGCTTCACAGAATGAAAAGAAAGTGGAGAGGAGCTTGATTTTAGAAGCCTCGAGCCCTTTTTTGCCAGGGCATCTGCTGGCTCGTTTCCACAGAGGCTGCAGTGGCCCGGCAGCCACTGAAGAATCACACGCTTCTGTTTTTAACGCAGTTCTTGTAGATGTTGCCGACACTGGGTGATTTCATTTGTTGCAGCCATACCAGCTGAACTGATCGCTTGAATTGCTGCTTTGGAGACAGATAAAACAACCACTTTGCAAAATTTATCTTCAAAAGTTATTAAGTGCTTAAAAGCAATGCGAATGGCTTCAACTTCACCATGGAAGGGAGTTCGGTGTTTCCCTGCGAAGACATAAAAGGAGAGTAAGTTCGAGGAAAACAATCGGCAAAGTGGTCTACAACTTCGGCATTTTATCTGAAAAACACTATATTAATCGCCACATGCTTTCATATGTTAAGGAAAGTCAAGTTTGAAACTCTGGATTTAAATAATGGATTCTTCTAATTTTTACCGTATTTCAGTTTGGTTGATAAATGAACATTTGAATTTGCCGATTGTTAAAAATTATGCAGGGAAATTCAATGGAGTTACTAGCGAGATTATATGCATACTCATACAGATTTTCAATTCTCCAGTGAAAAAGCTGTTGCCATTCATACGTATTGAAAACAATATTATGTTATTTTTTTCAGTAAAAATCAATTTCTTTATTTTCATTACTCTGTATTGGATTTCGATATCTATATTTAGGTACGTAAGAAAACCAACAAATGGTTTGCTTCTATATCTGCCTCCTAACTTATGACAAAAATAGTTTTTGAGTCATTTAAAACTGTATGTATAGGTCATTGTCGTATTAAATGAAATGTTAAATGTAAGAGTAAAACTTCTATAATCATAAATAATTTTGATAATAAACTGCTGTAAAACATTTATATAATTATCAGGTATAATTATATAAAGATTTCAATTTAATACAATTAACTTAAAAAAATATATAATGTTGAACTTTCGGTTCAAATAATATCTACATCTTTAAAAAGGAAAAATAATGATGCATCATTTGAAATCTTGTTGGCACCTTGCCTAAACATCGTGTATCTGTCAATTTCCAAAGTGGCAGATTGTGGTGTAGTGTCAATGATTATTTTTTCTTAACACAAATTTTAATACAGACTATAGCTTAATAAATTAACAAACTGTTACAAATGGCTTATAAAAAGTAATTGAATCATTTGGGGGAACGTACTACTTTAATAATGTGTTAAATAATAACTTATATATTGCAAATTTTACGAGAAAGGCTATGCGCACACGGAAGGAAAGTATGGTCAAAATTACCAGTTTGTGGAAAACTTTACCGTGTTTCTGCCTTGATGGGAATTCTAAAAAAGGCGTATAATTTTTACCGAAGCAGTTTGGTAATGATATTGGTAAAATAAACTAAAAATATATAGTTTTATAATATGTTGTAAATTTTGGTAAATGTTGTAAAATTTGGTAATTTTAACGTGATACTTTAAAGCACGTAATAAAAACCTTTTATTCGGTTAAATTTTCCTTGAAGTTTAGTATTTTTTACTATATGCGTGGTAATGAGAATTGCAATTTTGCCGGAACTTAACCAATATTTAAGAAGAACTTCCATTAAGCCGATATCATATGACTGGAAAATATACCAAATGAATAATTTTAAGATCCCACATTTTGCTTCTCTTACCCGAAATGCAATTACTATACAAAACAATAGTTTTACGAGAATATTTTCCTCTGCGTATGATATATTTTAAATCTATACTGATTGAACAAATCGAGA